GTCTAACCGCAAACAAACAACATTAACAAACACACACACACACACACACTCTGACGGCTAAGCGCTTAGAGCATTGCTGGAGGGGCTAGCTGAAACACACACACAAAGTTGTTTGTTACCTGGGAGGATAAACCAGAGAAAGGAGGAGGGTTGTCATTGTTATTTTCTGGCCTTCATGTGTTGTTCTTCCTCCTCTTCCTCTCTCACCTCCTCCTTCTCCTCGTGAGACTAGAGAGACCGCTGTGACCTGCGAGGGCGAGGGTCACGTGACAGACGGAGACCAAAGGAAGCCTTGCTGACTTCTGTTTCTATCAAACCAGAGATATTCTTCTTCGTCTTCTTCCCCTCCGTCGCCTCCTTCATGTAATCCATCTTTCTTAAACCTTTCCTCGTTCTTATTGTACTACACTTTTTATTCTTCCTTTTCTCATAACCTTTCTACCTCAACTCCTTTGCCTTCATCTTTTCTCTTCCTGACACCTCCACTTCATCCCCTTCCTCCTTTGCCCTCCTCTCACCCCCAACTTCTCCTCCTTCATCCCAGCCAACATCTTTGTTTTCCCCTCATCTTAGTCCTCGTCACACGCCTTCTTCTTCCTCACCTTCTTCTTCATGTTCTTCTCACCACCTCCTCTTCATGGTCGTTCCACCTCCTCCCCAACCTCCTCCTACTTACCCGCCTCTATGCAAACGTTTTCCACAAATTGCCCAAAACAAATCTTTTCTACAGAAATGCCCCCTGCAGTTATTTTGCTGGATTTAGACTAAACGATTATGATCAAGCCTAGATTAACTTTTTGATCCTGGTTTCCTTTTCCTAACTGTAAAAAGCGTGTTTGAGCCCACACGGTTCCCTCTAGATATCAGACATTTATTTTTATACAAATAAGTTGGATGTTCCCGTGAGATGGGGCTGATCCTCAATCATCCCTCTCCTCCTTTGTCTTTTCTCTCATCACCCCTTTTTCTCATTCACAAGGGCATTTTATTACATCATTAATTGAGCCTAATTCAGCTACATTACCACCTCCCCACACACCCCCCAAAAAAATCTGACAGGAGGGGGTGAGTGTGTGTGTTTAAATTCAGTGTAATGAGGTCTGCAGGGAGACGAGGATGGAGGTTGTGTAGAGAGGAGAAAATTACCTCAGGGCAGAAAAATCTCTCTTTTAGTGAGCTTTAATGCCCCTCTGTCTGCCTGTCTCGCTGTATGAAACTGTCTGGCTGTCTGGCTTATACTCTGTTCTCTTTTCTCTCTCGGTCTGGTCCACTTTTCTTTCTGTGGCCCCTTGTTTTTTGCCTCAAGGCAAAGCGATTTAATTTAATAAAAAAGCACATATTCTCATAAATAAACGTCTTTACGTTTTGGAAACCGCCATGTTCACCCTACAGAGACAAAACACAGACATAGGGACATGTCCCCACAACTTTTTGAAAGCATTTGTTCAAAATGTTCAGAAAAATAGCTTGCAACAAGAAATGTTAACTATGAAATGGAAATGCTTTGAGAAAAGTTTATTTGCACGATAAGAAAACCTGCAATGCAAATAGCTTGGCAATAAAACGATAACAAGTATCGTGAGATATATATATATATATATATATATATATTTCAGTAACAATATAACAAATGTTCAATAAATATCCAATAAATGTTGACACAAATTAGGACTTAATTTTTTCATCAAGATGTTTATTTTGTGGAGGAAAAAGGACTGAAAAAAGCTTTTACTTTTACTCATGCATATTTGTTGACTTAAGATTTTATCATAATTGTTTTGAACGTTCTACCTCAAAAGTTTAAACCACAGTTAACCATCAGGTTTCTTTCAACTTTCACTAAGGAGCAAAAATCAGCCTTTAAACCTGAAAGAAATAACGCAATGCAATTTAAATATAGTTTCACCTTCATATATTAAAATATTTCATTTTGAAATTTGGGCTGAAAATGTCTCCAGAATGCGGGAAATTCCAAGTTTAATTCTCAAAATCTTCAGGGTCCGCCCACTCACATATTTCAACATAAAATGTTGTTAAAAATCTCCTTATCACGCCCCCTAATCTGAGCCCTTGTGTCCCCCCCCCCAACTTTTCAACACAAAGTGACGCTCGTGAACACAGACATGTACTGTAAGACAGAAGAAGAAAGGTGAAAATAACTTTAATTATATTATATATAATATATAGTGGGGACACAGTCGTGGCAGATCAGGCGCTTTCTAAGTGAACCAAAAGATCCCTTCCCAGATATGGATCCATCAAGGTCCAGTGAGAAAATCATCTTATCACTGCTGTACCACATGAACAGCAGACTTCAGGTACAAATTGTGTCATTTACTCTGTTCGCTCTTGAACATTGCAGGATCTTAAAACGTAACGCGCAGGCCATCGTCACATGTTGTGACTACAGCTGCATGTTAGGTTCCACTGTTCTCTTCCCAGCTTTGGGGACGAGTTCCTGGAGCTAAAACCAGTTCATTAAAACCGGTCGAGCAGATGCATCGTCACATCCCAATCCAACATTCACGTGAGGAGAGTTTGCTTCCCATCGGGAATCATCCCCCACCCAAGCCTCCGCACTTTTACTTTCTTGGCCTTGCTAATTAGGACTGTGAAACTTTCCAATATGGATACAGTATTATTTTTGGATGCTGGTCTGGCGAGTTTGGTTGTATATAAACTTAATTTTTAGGAGTGAGGGTTGTTCTGTCTGGACTTGTTGTCAGTATGAGGGACAAGAAGGAACCATGTCAGTGGTTGGACAGGCTGCATCAGAATGGACTGGCTGAATCAAAACAATTTAAATTCTCTTCCTGTCTCTCTCTCACACTTTCTGGCTTTGTCTTTTATTGGGAAAGCGAGAGAGAGACAGTAACCCGAGGGCAGATTTTACACATAGACACCCCTCTCTCTCTCTCTCTCTCTCTCTTGCTGGCTGTTACTTTCTGTTTTTCTCTTTTTAGACAGAGTTTTGCCCTCAGGGAGAAATTTTAGAAAGCTATAAACCATTTCTCTCTCTCTCTTTCTCTCACTTGTCTGCCTCTCACTGTCTCTGCCACTCTCCAGAGATGAACAGTGATGGGTAGAAAGATGAGAATAATGAAAGGGATAGTGAGAAACAAAAAAGGAAAGAGAATAAATGAGAGAGAGAGACGGGCCCTTTTTGGGATCCTTGCCTTCAGACTCGCCTATCAGAGGACCAGAGACTTCTCTTCAGACACTCTGACATCATCTATTGATTATTTGGTTTTAGAAACAGTTGTGAAGCGTCTAAACACTGAACATGTGATCAAATCATCCAGCTCAGTTGAGCTGCTGCAGTTTTAGAGTTGATAATGACGTCAGGGCCTCCTCCTAACTGCATCCCACAGCCTCCCCGGTCTCTTCCCAAGAACTCAGTCTATGTTTTGTGTGTAGTCTCGACGTGATGAATCGTACAAATGGGGATAACTGACAACTTTGTCTCAGAAAGACAGACTCTGCTAGACAACATGACAATTTGTTTAAAGATGTATTGACACTGGAGACTGCTGTCTTCATCCCACTGTCCTACCAAAAGCCAGTTTTGGTTCCTCTGAAGCAGCGTTTCCCATTAATTAGCGAGACCAGGGCGGCCCGCCACAGTCTTAATTTGTTACGCCATAGTTTAAAAACATGGGACAACGTCCGGTTTTCAAAATAAGGTGTCGATACAGGATGGAAATAAGATTAATTGGATTAAATTCACAAAGTATAAAACACATTACATGTGTCCATTAAAAGGTTAAAACAAACAACAATAAAATGTTCGGGAAATTACTTATTCTATTTTCTATTCTTTATTTTAGGGTTGATGGAGAAACATTAAATACATTTGTTGACTTTTGTTGCTGTTTCATCACCATTTATAGCCCTACAATGGGTTTATGATTAAATAGTTTACTATAGCACAACATTGTTTACAAGAGTGCAAAGTTCGTCATAGATAGGCTCTTAATTTTTTAGTTTATTAGTCTCTTTCCTGTGGGAAACACTGTTTGAAGCATGACCACAATCTTTCCGTAACACTGACCAAGTGGTTTTAGAGGCCGTACCTTAAACAAAGCAGTGGCGGGGCCGAAAATGCTCATTAATTTTTCTTTGCAACCATTTTAGACTGCTGCTGGGAAACTAGTGGATGCCTGAGTACCTCTTCTTTTGGATATATTGACTTATTCTGTAACACTGTCGCAATACAAGAAACCACTTTTTCCTAAAAAAATGAATACTGTAAAACGTCCTGCAAGATCATCCATGGACCAATCAGCTAACAGCTGCTGGCATCATGGCTTCATCAGGTCAAGTTCTTCAACAATTCATGCGCATTTACCAGCAATGTTTTTATAGTATAGATGATGATTAAAACTGCAATAAACCAGATATTTAGTTTTAAAAATGGGGCTTGCTCCTTATGGCAAACGCACAGATGACTCTGCAGGTCTCTTCATCTCTACAGAGGGTTTTAACATATTTCACCTTATTGTTTTGGTTTAATTGCACATTGACTGCATAGTTCAGTGTCCACACAACCTCCACATGTCCGTTATTTTGAACAAACCTGTGATTGCATATAAATACACTCACGATTGTTTGCATAAAATGTTTTTTGTGTTTAGAATTGACTTAACTGAATCAAATTTCAGTTGCAACCTCATTAGGATGAAGCTAATGATTCCTGTTTGTTTCAATGAGGAGGGTTAACATTGCTAACATGTCGCACTGTTCCATACTGTTCTGCAGAGCTGACCTCGCTGGTTCCTCTTGTCCTGTGCCATGTGTGTTTGTCAAGCTAGGCTGTATAAACGTGAGAGAGTGTGTGTGTGTGTGTGTGTGAGAGAGAGAATATGTATTGGTGTGTATGTGTGGAGCTTTGCTCGTATCAATGTGTCCGAGTCTCACCAGTGTTCTTCTGTCCTGTCTTGTGCTTTCTCTCTCCTTGTGTGTGTGTGTATGTATGTGCGTTTGTTTGTGTGTGTGTTTAGCTATCGGTGCGCAGCGAAGGAGGAGTCCCAGCGTCGTCGCGTCGGAGATCTTCGAACCTCACCTGGGCAGCCACATTTTACAGGTAGGAGCTGTTCACGCTTGACTTTATCTGAAAACACCTTTGGAAATAATGTGATACACGAAATACGGTATTTGTGTTCAGGTTCAAACACCTGTGTGAGTACACACCCATAAACAAATGCAAACCTTCTTCATATGTGGACACCTTGTGAAGTTTGTGTTAACCAACGCCAGCAGTTAAAAACATGTTTCTAGAGCAGGTTAGGTAGAATAGTAATCTAACATTAGCTCAGTAGCATGCTACCACTAGCATTCAGCTGACCACACATCTGAGGTTATTTACAGCCTGAAAAAGTAGTTTAGACTGATGAAGGTTGAGCCATTTGTGACAGTGTAGAGCTCAGTCTGAGATGTCCTTAAATGGCCACCGTATAGGATAAAGCGGTTTGATATAACATGGGCTTTTCTGTGGTGCCACTCTCAGGACAACCTTGACATTTCTTGGCCCACTGTTGCCCTACTATCTAAGAAGAGCAAAGTTGTCTCTTAATGTTTTCATTAATTTCCCCTCTGTTCTGTTGTGCAGTGCTGCTGATTACACACTTTTATATTTGCTTTTTATATTTGAAGCTTAGTTTATATCTCAATTTATCATATTTTTCATTGTATTTATACATATATTTCATTTAATTTTTTATTGTAGGTGTGGTGTCCGAACAATAATGCTGCGATGACGTGTTGAGAAGAAACCCGCTTGACACTGTTCTTGATCATAAAAGTTTATTAAATCAAGGAGTTCAGCATCAATTACAAGCTCTGCAGCAGCTTGGAGAGAGACCCAGCCCGATGGCCACTCTGTCTCTCTGTAAATCAAACATAGCTTATATAGGACATGTTTAGGTATCTGTTCGGTACCATAGAAGGGTTTGAGTCTGTAAAATAAAGCTCAAACCCATAGAAGGGTACAGTACTATTCTGAGGTAACAAAACAAGGGGTTAGAGGTCAAATTCTATAGGTTCAGTCCCTACATAACCACCAATCACTGCTCTCCCTGTAGAAGGTCACTGACCCTCTGTCCTGCTGCTACAGTGCTATTTTGATCTGTTATGAGTCAAATGCACAAATATTGTATACCACATAGGCATTTGATGTGGACAGCAAAGGAAGAATTTCAGTGTACAGGGAAACTTAACCATCTGACAAACACTTTGAATCTCTGAATCTCTTGCGAAGCACCATGAGGCAGCGATTTCTCTGTTACATTTTATTCCTAATTCCTGAATCCCGAGAATATTATAGTCTGAGGACTCAATCACGTCACATTTATTATTTTTATTTTTTTTATCAAAATGAGGATTTTACACTTTTTTTGTTTGAGTTATTTCTTATGATTTGCCTTTGAGCTTTACTGAAGCTAAATTATTCCTCATAATGTACATTAACATTATTAGCGCAGTTATTCCTCATAATTCACCCTCAGATTTTTCTCCTCACCCGACTTCAATTATTCCTAAACACCCAGCTGCTGCCGCGGCTAAACTGAATTATTAAATGGAATTATGAAAGTATGATAATGACTGGGTTATCGCTGTTCGCTCCCTCGGGTTTGTGTGTAAAAAGTGTGTGTGTGTGTGTCTCTTGTAGTTTTAATCCCTCACATGCTCCACTCCTTATCTGTTTAACATACAGCCCAAAGGCTGAGCTTTTAACATCACAACCAGGCCGACGCGATACCACAGCTGATAGAGGCGGGTAATCTGTGTCTCTGTGTGTGTGTGTGTGTTGTACAATGTGCACTGTTTGTAAGTGTGACTCCATTTCTGACATGAAAAACTCCCAAACTGTTTTTCATTGTGTGTGTCTTTTTAAACCTAGAAATCTTGCGTGTGTGTGCGTGCGCACGCGTGTTTTGCATCTGTTTCAGTTACACCTGATTATTATTATAATCTGGCTGACACCATTGAGCCTTTTGCTGTGTAAAAATCCACACTTTTCTAATCTTCTTGTACTTTTTTTTTTATCCCTTTATCATATTCGAGGATCCTGACAGGAAAGTTGCTCACAGATATGAAGAACTCATTACAAACTGGAACTGTTTGGAAAACGGTGACAGTGACGTCTGTAACTGTAAGGCAGATTACTTTTTGGCCAATGGTGGAGAGAAGCTGAGTAGGCCATATTGATCGTGGGGCAGTCAGTTGACTTTTGGATTGTTGATCAGACAAAACAAGCTTTAGAAACCTTTAAGGAAATGTTGGCTATGTTATCCACGCCCAGAGTGTTGGCTGTCAGACTTGTCTGTTACAAATAAAAGTCACACATTCAGAATTTTAGTAGAAGTACTAGGATCAACATATACCTGAAGTACCTAAAGTAAAAGTACTCAGAATAATATACAGTCATATAATTAGAATATCATCCAAAAGTTCCATTCAAAAAGTGAAACTTGGATATTATATTCATTCATTACACACAGACTGATATATTTCCAATGTTTATTTTATTTAATTGTGATGATTAAAACTGACAACTAATGAAAATCCCAAATTCAATATCTCCAAAAAAAGGATTTTTAGAAATGTTGGCCAACTGAAAAGTATGAACATGTTCAGCACTCAATACTTAGTTGGGGCTCCTTTTGGTTGAATTACTGCAGCAATGCGGCGTGGCATGGAGTCCATCAGTCTGTGGCACTGCTCAGGTGTTATGAGAGCCCTGGTTGCTCTGATAGTGACCTTCAGCTCTTCTGCATTGTTGGGTCTGGCGTATCTCATCTTCCTCTTTACAATACCCCATAGATTTTCTATAGGGTTAAGGTCAGGCCAGTTTGCTGGCCAATTAAGAACAGGGATACCCTGGTCCTTAGACCAGGTACTGGTAGCTTTGGCACTGTGTGCAGGTATCAAGTCCTGTTGGAAAATGAAATCTGCATCTCCATAAAGTTGGTCAGCAGCAGGAAGCATGAACTTCCTGGTAGACGGCTGCGTTGACCTTGGACCTCAGAAAACACAGTGGACCAACAGCAGCAGATGACATGGCACCCAAACCATCACTGACTGTGGAAACTTTACACTGGACTTCAAGCAACGTGGATTCTGTGCCTCTCCCCTCTTCCTCCAGACTCTGGGACCTTGATTTCCAAAGGAAATGCAAAATTTACTTTCATCAGAGAACATAACTTTGGACCGCTCAGCAGCAGTCCAGTCCTTTTTGTCTTTAGCCCAGGCGAGACGCTTCTGACGCTGTGTCTTGTTCAAGAGTGGCTTGACACAAGGAATGCGACAGCTGAAACCCATGTCTGCATACGTCTGTGCGTGGTGGTTCTTGAAGCACTGACTCCAGCTGCAGTCCACTCTTTGTGAATCTCCCCCACATTTTTGAATGGGTTTTGTTTCACAATCCTCTCCAGGGTGCGGTTATCCCTATTGCTTGTACACTTTTTTCTACCACATCTTTTCCTTCCCTTCACCTCTCTATTAATGTGCTTGGACACAGAGCTCTGTGAACAGCCAGCCTCTTTAGCAACGACCTTTTGTGTCTTGCCCTCCTTGTGCAAGGTGTCAATGGTCGTCTTTTGGACAGCTGTCAAGTCAGCAGTCTTCCCCATGATTGTGTAGCCTACAGAACTAGACTGAGTGACCACTTAAAGGCCTTTGCAGGTGTTTTGAGTTAATTAGCTGATTAGAGTGTGGCACCAGGTGTCTTCAATATTGAACCTTTCCACAATATTCTAATTTTCTGACATCCTGATTTTGGGTTTTTTATTAGTTGTCAGTTATAATCATCAATATTAAAAGTAATTAACACTTGAAATATATCAGTCTGTGTGGAATGAATGTGTACATTATACAAGTTTCACTTTTTGAATGGAATTACTGAAATGAATCAACTTTTTGATGATATTCTAATTATATGACCAGCACCTGTACTGTATATTATATTATTGGATTATAATTATTGATGTGTTAACATGCTCACTTCATCATTTTAATGTTGCAGCTTGCAAAGGTGGAGCTCATTTGAATTACTTTACATACTGGTCGGAACAGATTATTGGCCCAAACGGTCCTGTAGCGTGAGGGAGTCTGGATCAGAGGCTCCGATCACCCGAATATTCAGAAGAAACCTGCAAGAGCCATGGAGCGTGTTGTATTTGCTCATGCTATAAAATGTATAAACCAGACTGATTCCCTCTTCTCAGGCTCAGGTTCATCCACAGTTTGATTCTCTTTTGTTTTTCACCAGTCATAAGTGTGTGCACGTTTGTGTCACTTATACATCTGTTCGTTACTTGTGTTTGCAGTGATCCTTTCTGCGTTTTAATCGTAGAACAAGTCTGTGTTTGCATGCATGTTACACCTGCCGTGTTGTCCAAAGCCCTTCTGCCTGTTTGACTGATTACCTGCTCTCTCTACAAGATTATACGTGTCGGTATTGTTTAGCAAACCACATGAGCCAGTTTAATCCACATTTCCACCTTTTCTTTTTTTCCCTCACAAGCTCAACTGTCAATTAGACCAGCTTGTTTTGTTTTTTTTTTCACCAATGATCTTTAAAGTTCTCCTCTCGGAGCGGATACAAGTGTTTATGTTCAGCTCAGACAGCACTGGCTTTACTTTCCAGATTATCTCAAATGGGTTTGGAATAACCGCCGTGGCCCCTTGTGTCTCGCAGCAGTTTGGATTCACATTTTATTTGCAAATGGCATATTCCGGCCCGAGCGTGAAAACAGAACACATAACGGGATCAGACCTCTCCACTGGTTGTCAGGAGAGATGAATGAGGGAGAAACGGGTATGAAATCTAATCTAAGCTGTGTGAACTCTCTGTGTGACTCTCACGCTGGCAGGTGGACTCAAACTCACTCTTGAATCTCGGGTAAACAATTTCACAAGATTATTCATTGTTTGTGTTGAAATTCTCTTTACATCCCGACAGAAATCAATAAATCAAATGTTCTGACTAAACACAATCAGGTATCCTTGGCTGTCGAAGGACTGTAACAAGGCCAATCATTTTATCTGGTCCCAACCTACCTGTCCACCTGCGTGCACTCTCCC